GCCCCGATCAACTGCTTAATTCTCCTTTATCCACTCGCAACAGCGCAAATAGAAAAATAAGACATTTAAAAAAAAAAAGATGATGTAACACTCAAGTAGAGGAGAAGCTCAGAAGAGACCCCTTTAATTCTCAAAATAACGATGGTCTGGAATCGCGGTTTTGATTTCGTGTAGTTGCATCATTTTGTGGAAGTTTCTTTTTCACAACTTATAAATGAATTGTCCAGCAGCTCCCTGCTCCTGGCTATATGCATGCAGTCGCAGGTGCTATAGGCATTTTGGATGTGTTAAGTCTTAACAGTAACTAACAATTAGTTTTCTGCTTTTCAGCTGTAGTAATTGTCTTGCCTAAATCACATGAGCAGCATAAAAATATATCATATTGGTGCAGAGTCCATCACTTCCTGTCTGATCACAGGGAATGACAGGTGTCCACACTCCACACTGATGAAAATTCTGTCATCATTTACTCACCCTCAAGTTGTTCCAAATTTTTCTTTCTTCTGCTGAACAAAAAAGAAGATATTTTAAAGAATGTGGGTAACCAAACAGTTTGTGGTCCCCATTGACTTCCACAGTATGGAGAAAAAACTAAATTAAATAAAATACTATGTCAAGTAAGTCAATGGGAACCAGAAACTGTTTGGTTACCCACATTCTTACACATTAATAATAATATAATGCATATCACAAAAGTAAACGTGTGTGTGTGTGTGTGTGTGTGTGTGTGTGTGTGTGTAGGGACACTGTACTTATCATATAAAATATTTTCTAATTTGGCCAAATTCATCAGTAAACATTTTATTTATGCCAACAATATTGTTTTTGATGGTCAGAATAATATTTGTTGACTTATTCTGTGAATTGTCAACTGAATAGTGCAGTTATGAAGTGAACATATAGCTCTTCAAGACTTTTCCATACAGTGATCCAGTCTGAAACCTCCATCATGCTCTGCTGAGTTTCCCCCCACTTTAGACTTATGAAGGGCACCAGTACATTCAGGCTTATACTGTATAGCTTATATAGATGATTACACATCTCTCAAATCTCTTTGTGACCTTTCCCCTCCCCTTTTCCATTTCTTTCTTACTTTTCCCATCCATTTCTATTTTACTCTCCATTACTTTGCACGGCAATCAGTGTGAGCTAACTGCAGGCTCTATCTCACACAGTCGGGCCCTCCTACCTTGCTTTCTTTTTGTGCCTTCTTCCATAGGGACCCCCATCTGTCCCTCCTCTCCAGCCATTGTGGGGGCTCAAAGCCGGGCCACCTCCACAATAAAGTGGGCGTGTAGAGGGGGGAGGCAGGGTAAACATGACAGCAACCCCATCCTATTAGAAGCTCTTTAACTTTGACAACCCAGCACTCTCACAAAGCTCTGAGGAGACGAGTCTTGCCTCACAATGTCACTTTAATGGCTTGTTCCACCCTTTTGTGAACTCTAACCTCCCTTTACCTTTCCTCTGCTCTGGATCGTCATTGAATTTGGCTGTCGCTGTCACTCTTTAGTCTGATCTGAGCTCACAGGGCAGGTGCACCACCGTCTGCTTTTCTGGAAACCTTCTCTATCTATCTATCTATCTATCTATCTATCTATCTATCTATCTATCTATCATCTGTCCGTCCGTCCATCCGTCCGTCTATCCAGCAATCAATCTATCTGTCTGTCCATCAGTCTATCTGTATGTATCTGTATCTATCTATATGTCTGTCTGTCTGTCCATCTATCTATCTCTCTATCTATCTATCTATCTATCTTGCCGATTCAGCATTTTTTTTCTTGTCTTTCTCCAAACCTCCTCCTCCCAGTTTCCTCATCCAGTTGCCTTCTAGCATACACCACCTATCAGTTTCATTGTACTCCAGCTCTGTACCTTGACCTCCCTGTTCTCCGGCCTGTCCTGTGTGTTTGTGTGAGTGAGTGTGTGATGTGACTCATGAGGAGGAGGATCACAGCGTTAGCTGAAGCTTAAAGGCAGGGGATTACGGCAGCACAGACACTGATTAAAGCCTTCCAGCCTCCTATGGCCCCATTAATACAATCTTAATCACAATGCTTTATCCCCATCTCCCCCCTATGGTTCAGAACCTTTCATTTAGTGGGAGACTGCGTTGTTTGGCCAATGGATTAGTGCCAGAGAGACAAAAAAACTGGGGAGGAGTGAAAGAGGTTTCAGACTACACTTTAATGTTCCATCATCCACTCCTCCTCTCTAACTCGCATTGTAAATTCATAACTACACGCAACATATATAATTGCCTTGTGCAGAAAAGGAAGATTTGCTATTGCCCCAAAAAGTATTTGAACACTGTATAGCCACACTTAAAGGAATATCGGATTAAATGACTTGCAGAAAATGTCTTCAAGTCTGAAATGGTGTTTAACAATCTGGAGTCAAGGTGATTTTTAGTGGATATGTATGAAGTCAGTTCCACTCAAGTTCGCACAGGTTTTCTAGCAGAATTACCACAAGTGTAGTTCATTAACTATGTTCAAATAAGACTAACAATAATAGTTCTCATATTTCTGTTGAATTTTACATACAATTATGTATTTTGAAGTATACTGTTTTATAAATGTAACATTTTGTGAATTGATTTAGTTGAAAGGTGTTTTATTTATTTATATAAATGCTACTTGTTTTGAAATGTTATTCATTAATGCAATGAAATTCATACATTTCTTGTAGTTTAAAATGGCTAAAATGTCTTTGGGCCACTGCATCCATCAATCATCTGCCTTATTCACCTGACGTGGTCACAGGCAGAATAAATCCTCTGAGCTATGGCTGTATTAGAATAAAATTGTAAAATTAATTTAGGGTCTTAAAAACATCACACTAAGATTGTATTATTCTTATTTTTTTCTAAATTTTGTATGGGTATTTGCTGTGGCACAGAGGTCACAACGATGACCATCTGCTCTATGGGAAAATGCAACAATCTTCACATGCCTTTTCATTTTTGCTAGCACATTTCTCCTCTGTGGCTTCTCATCTGTTTTCAAAAGATATGTCGACAGCAGCTGACAACTCTGAAATCGTTCCCTTATTTCAGCCCTGCTGAGTTCTGCACAGACGGCTGACGTATTGGCAATGAACAATGCCAAAGACTGTTAAAACATTTTGTATAGTTTGTATAACTTCTGTGGGCAGTAAATTGCACAGTTTTATGAGTAACTTGCCACAGCCACAGTTAAAGGGACAATTCACCCATAAATGAAAATTCTGTCATCATTTAGCATT